CCTGAGTGATCAATTATCAATATCCGATAAAAATTAAGACTTATACTATGACTTGAAAATCCGTTTTTTTTCTCACCTGCGTACTTCTAAACCCCCTAAGTACGGCCAGCCAGGTGTTCGGATTATCGAAGGAGAGTCGTCCACGCAGGTTATAACGGAAAATCGTGATTTATAAAATCACTTGGCCAAAAGTGTCGTCAGCTCTCCGCCTATACGTTCGTGAAGTATACACTTTTTTACACGTATATAATTATATGTATATCCTTTGCCTACTCTTTACGCATTCCAACCGCGAAGAAGCTTTCTTATCGGAACGATCGATCAATTGGAATGATCGGCGAGTTTTCCTCCGTCTCTTTTACTTTTCCACGTGTTTTCGGACATAATCATACCTGAGACACGTAATGCACCATGCAACGCGCGATTGAATAACATTGCTATTTTCGAAAAGAAAATACAGGGCATATCAACTACATTTATTTGTTCGGATTTTAGATTTTAATGTCTGGCGAGAGATCAGCAACTCTTTATTGGATTTCTAATGTTAATTTCACCATTAATAGATTTGTAGTATATTGTGTTCCAATTTCTCCGATACTAAAAATTTTGCTGTCAAATTTAAATAAAAAAGATTCAATTTACTAAGAAATGTCCAGTTTTTAATTTGATAAATATCTCTGTTACTGACATGTGCACAATCGCTTATTCCTGATTTTACTTTTTAGATATCGTTTTCTAAGATTTTTAAAATATTTACATTTCTCGTCATTTATTGAAAATAATAAAATTAAAAAAACTTGGAAATTAATACATGTAATGTAGTACCTGATACCTTTAATTTTAATATAATTTTGTATTTAACTAATTGATATTTAATAATAATAATAATAATGAAATTATATTGATTTTAATATTAAAATATCCAATAACAGATTTGCTTACAACATACAGACCTAAATCTATCTCAATAATGCTCATAAATGCATTTTTGTTCTTATAATAACTAATACATTTTTTGTCAATAGTGTACCAAATTATAATATAGCAAAGCTTTCCCACAGCCGTTAATTAATCGTCAACCAAATCTCTTTTTAAAAAGTCGCAAATTCTTAATTAACAGCCGCCTTATCTGCTCAGATAGCGGAGTCTAACAATCAATGCTTCAGTTTGGCATCACATTGTATATTTCTTAATACTTAAAAATGTATATTGCACAATACTCAATAAATTATATTTTTCAAAAATTTTGTAATTTTTATAAATATTAAAATTTTACAATCTTGCGTTTCAATTAAAAGATTTTCTCACTTTCTTATTGTTATATAGCTTTGAGATATTAAATATTTAGTACCGCGAACTCAGTACTCCATTAGCTTTGATTGTAGCCCCCTTCTGTAATGAGATTTTTATTAAATCTCTACTAAATAAACAAAACTACATTTGTAACCTACGTAAATGCCCCGCGTTTCCTTTTGCATCACGGTAAACGAACGTTACCGTTAAAGAATTAGATAACGTGTGCACGCGCGCGAGCGCGGCGGGAACGCCGTCATATACTAATCAACGCCGATGCAAAGCACGAAGCAATCCCTCACTGTCTGTCCATGTGAGCCGCATTCATTGCCACCCGCGAAGCCGCTCGTGTGCTTTAATTCGATTCGATTCCCCGGATCGGTCGGTGCGGATCGGCGGACCGCGTGCTCGCCGCGAGCACCGTCATTTCGTAGGCACGGAAGTAGTACTTTTATTGCGTATACTTACTGACAAGCCTCCCTGAGAGAGAAACCCTACTAACTTTTCCAAGGCGCACTCGAGAGACTTATATTACGTTGCGATGCTCGAGACGAAGTATATGCCTCAAGTCTTCCCTTTCTTCCGTGTCTTCGTTCTTCACTGTCGCATAAGTATTAATTACTTTTGTGTGCTTTAAACTAAATTTTTCTTCCCGTTCATCGCACATTCGTACACAACTGAGCCCTGGAGTCCTCTGAGTCACCGAGTCAAAATTCGTCCAAGTCGTCCTTCGACTTCAGTCTTCCTTGTGATTCACACGAAGAGCCCGCTTCTTTATGCTCGGATGCCGTCGAGGGACAGGAGGAACTAGACTTCCTGCTCATCAGAACGGAACTCTTTCGAGGAAAGTTCCGTTTCGATGCGTGTAATCGCCGGCAAGCCGATCGCTCGCCGTCTCTCTGGGAAGTCACGACGAGCTGTGCACCATTCGCGAAGGACGATGCCCCTGCGTATCCTACGACACTGCGTTGCATCCTTAGACGACGACGATGATAATGTCGCCGTCGCGGCCCTTCACCGCAAAAGAGTAATACGAAACCTTCACAAATAGTCGTTCTCGACCGCTTGAGCGTCCTGCGATTTTAACGTCGCCATTTCCTCCGCAGTACCTGTCTCGCCCTCCTGCTCCTCCACGAAGCTTATGCTCCCGGCCTTGTACCAGACGACTATATCCACCACGAAGGCCAGCAAGAGGATGCCGCCCGTCGTACCTGCAAAAGAAACATTCAATCAGTATATTACGTAATCTATGTTTATGTGCAATCCAGCGTGATGACACTGCAAATTTTATCGTTATCTAAAGAATATATGTTCTTCCTTTCTTGCAAACTTTCGGCTCAATTTATCCATCTATTTATTTATTTTAATTTTATATAATATATTTCATTAGTATTTCAAGTTACAACAAAATCGAAAGAAATATCACTGTAAATCCAAGTGTGTTATTTCAACATGCATAAACGTCTAAAAATGACACATTTGACTGAAGCTCGTTTTAATTAACACGTTTAATTGCATTAAATTGAAAGTTAATACGTTCAACCGTGTTAAATGACGTAATTTAAAACGGCAAGAAATGTGTAAAAAGAGCTTCAATTAAAATAACACACTTGGATTTGCAGTGATATTACTAACAATACATGTGTTAATTTAAATTCAACACAAGATTTTTTTTTAAACAACCTAATTTTTTTTCATTTTTTAGTAACAAATTTTAGTAATAGAATTTTTTCCATATCTCTAAGTTATACATACCGTGATAGAACATTCTAAAGACGTTCGAGTCGTAAAGCCAACAGGCGCCTCGCTCACCGCAAGCGTATTCCCATACGAGACAAGCGGAATCTACCACAGCACCATAAACGATAGGACACGGAACATTGCCTGAAGCGAAGAAACAAAGATACTGTATATTACTGTTGAAAGACATTTTTAGAACAATGAGAAATTAAAATTAAATCAGCCTTTTTTCAATTCGTGAACTTACATGAATACTTTATTAAATTATATAAATTATTTAATTATAAAATCTGTTTATAAGTAATATTACAATCATTATTTTTCAAACAAGAAATTGTTTAAAATATAATTTATTTACTTTCTCCTTTTACGAATTTTTATTTCTGTTATTGGAAAATGTCCAGCAAGTAATTAGTAAGTAATTACCGAATAAGCCGATGGCGAACTGTATCAGGCCGAGTGCCATGGCCTTGTCCCTGGGATCCACGCATCGCAGAATGAGCAACATAGAGCCTACCTCGCTCGTAGAGTGAATAAAAACGAAGACTGAGAACAGGATCATGTAAACCCAAAAGTTACTGCACTCCAATTGACAGTAACCGATCGACGCCGTGCTCACTATTTCCGGTATCGTTACGTTCTGTCCGATGCATTGACAATTGTAAAACTGTGAAGTATCAAACATAACGTCATCAAAAGAGGGAATTTGTAGCGAGGATTATAATTTTTTGCGCCTCGTATATTGAAAGTATAACTGCCGAATAATATTTGGTGTTAAAAAAGAAGTGACACAATACTCTCTAAATCCCATAGAGTGGTTTCGCCACTAATATATTAGAGTGATTGCGATAGTCACTCCAAAAGAGATAGCACTCATAAAGTAAGAGTGAATTTTTTACTCAAATTTTTAGAGCGGCTACTCTATCGAAGTGATGTCTCACTCTAAAACTATAGTGAATCACGATTCACTAAAAATTGACTAATAAATGACTCTAACAGAGTAATATTTTCTACTCAAAATTGTAGAGTGACATAATTCACTCTTATGGATACTAATTTAGTGCAAATTGAGTGTAATTTCACTCCAACTATAGAGCGCAGTTTTACTCTTTTTTAAAATAACAAATCATTCAAAGTGTACAGGCTCAATTATCATTTTTCGTTATACTTGCGATTCACTCGTTTTGAGTGAAATTTTACTCCTTAACCTCCTTGATCGAAAAAAATGAAGTTACAATGGATATTTATGCTCAGAGAGTTATTAAGTCTCGTTATTAAATATTCAAGAAATATCGAATAACACAGCACGCTTAAAATTGTATTCGGCTTCAACAACCGTGATTCTGTCTAAATATCGCAAATTTTGTAAAGAGGCGAGAGATCTCCCAAATTCATGTTGATCTCCGAGTGGCTTATTCCCAACAATCTTAATTCTTGATCTTACAGTGTTTCCAAGCTGACGACCGATTCAATTACTATCGTATTCCGTGTAATCTCACTCTAGCAGATATGTCATCAGAGCATGTCCTGCCGGTTCTACCGGGCTTAGCACTTACCGATGCCACTTTGCCGTCAGCAACCGTATAATTCGAGCAACCCGCGTGACACGCGGAGAAATACGTTTTGCCATCGGCGCCACAGATTGGACTGAATTTGTTCCGATCGCAGTCGCAAGTAGCCTCGCAGGTCGGCTCGAAACTGGAGAGTCTATGGAAACGAATCGTTCTCAGATCAGCCCCGCTTTAAACTATGTTTCATTTTAATAACTTAATCGTCTGTCTTCCTTAAGATAATTCGTTTTGACATGAAAATAGATTAATAAGTTTAAATAGAAATACGTTTGCTTAATTAAAGAAAGGTAAATTTTGTTAAGTTGAATAAAGAGAAATCGAGGTCAATAAGTAAATGTCAGGTACATTAAATATCTCGTTTAAGCGAGAAAAATTTGACTTAGCAAGTATGGCTCGCTGGCTACTTAAATATTTATAGAAATGATGTCTCTCAGATGCGTAGCAGTCTGAATCATACCAGTGCTTTTAACCCTTTACGGCACGGTGAAACGCTCAGCATCTCATCTTTCTCCATACAGTTTTTAATTATTTTAACGAATTATTTTTTATGTACATGAACAAGTAAAAAAAGTAAGCAACCGTAAATTTTTATTTGCATAATTATTATAAATAAAAAAATAGTCAAAACTTGTGCTTTTTATTAAAACACATTCTTTTTTGCATTAAATTATTATCAACATCGAAACGACAATTTAAGCACTTATTTAGAACACCCTAAAGTATTTTTAAGAATTTTGTAAGATCTTTTTGCTACGTTCTTTTTTTTAATAATAAATTAATATTCTTTGAAAAATATGGAAAAATCAATATTTTTCACTGTAAATCCAAATAAATAGTTTGAATATCTCTAGAATGTTGTCCTATGGATTTCAGATTCAGATTCAGCGATAAAAAACCTCCTATAGGTACTGATTTACCACATGTACTAATTTTCATGGAAATTAAATAAATTTTTGGATTATTGGTCCGCCATATTAAAACGACCATAAATTTAATAATTCTGACTTCTGATTCGTAATCAGTGACCCGAAAAATCCCCGATATAAAGTTTCGGGGGATTGGTCCAAAAAATTCGGTCTAATAAAAAGTCGTGACACAAAGGATTAAACCAAACATCTTAAAATTATAAATAATATCTTCGTTTCCCTAAATTCTATAATTTTTATAATGTAATACAAAAATAGAGAAAATATGTGTTGCGTATGTACGTGCGTGATGTGTGAAAGAGAAAGAGAAAGAGAGAAAGTTGGGAAAAAATCTCTGCTAAAACAAGGAGATAAAGCAATTCACAGCCGCACAAGAATCAAACCATTAAAATCAATTAAATCCTGTTGTTAAAAAAATATATTTGTCCACGTTATGACGGTTTCCGCTCGATGAGATATAATGCTCTAGATTGCACAAAGTCACTGTCAAAGTTTTCTCGCTTTCGTGCGCCTAATAAATAAACGAAGAACCCAAATCGGAAGAGCTCGAGATGTATGTATTTAGGGGAACCAGGAGATATTGTTGACTTGTAAATAAGAGGAAGGGAGGGCGGAGGTCCGCACGCGCGCGCGTTTCCGATACGTGTATTTACGATGCGCATTCTAATCAGACACGCATTCGAGCACGTTGTTTTTCGTTAAATACCAGCCGTCGTTCGCCAGACCGCGCGAAGTGACCATCACGATAGTTTCGTAACGATGTTACTATAACATGAGTCGAACGCTTTCGAAAATACTGTCAAGCTGCGATATTATCGAAGGGAGAACGCAAAATGAACTTTGCCACGTGTCGCACTGGATCCGAGAACGTAAACGTCAACATTTTAAATGCCTGTATATAATTACGGATGCTAATATTATTCTAGACTTTTTCTGTCTTTCTCTCTACATCTTATTTTAATAAAAAATTATCTAAAATTATCTTTACAATCTAAAATATACATAATTTCGTTAGACACTTTGTCGTCCTTGATACCAGATATAAGATTAACAGAATGCTTGGTTAATTTCACTGACACTCGATTTATGCTAATACAATATTTAATTATAAATTGTAATATAGTATACTAGTAATATAGATCTCTACATAACACGAAAAATGCATTCCGTGTTATGCGAACCACACATCATACTATTATATAAAACCCGACTGTTTGTCTGTCTGTCCGTCCGTCCGTCCGTCCGCGAACTACTCATTCGTTAGTGGACCAAATTTTTATCAAGGGTACATGAAATAAGGGTAGAATTTCCCGGGGAGTGCCATAAAGTGTATAGTTTTTTGTTACCGATTTTCTGGAAACCGGTTTTTTTAATTTTTTCAATTTTTCCTGAAATAATTGACCGAATCTCAAAAAATTACGTATGAAACAGGGGTGGAATTTTCCGGAGAGTGCTATAAAGTATATAATTTTTCATTACCAATCTTTTTGGAAGCCGGTATTAGAAATTTTTCCAATTTTTCGGAAATTAATTGAACCGAATTTTTACCAAAAATATATGAAACAGGGGTAGAATTTCCCGGGAAGTGCCATGATGTGCATAGTTTTTCGTTACCGATTTTCTGGAAACCGGTTTTTCTAATTTTTTCAAATTTTTTGGAAAATAACTGACCGAATCTCAAAGAATTACATATGAAACAGGGGTAGAATTTTCCGGGGAGTGCTATAAAGTGTATAATTTTTTGTTACCGATCTTTTTGGAAGCCGGTATTAGAAATTTTTCCAATTTTTTGGAAATTAATTGACCGAATCGCAAAGAATTGTATATGAAGTAAGGGTATAGAATATTTATGAGGAGCGCCATGATGTGTACAGTTTTTGTTACCGATCTTTTTGGAAACCGGTTTTTTTTATTTTTCCAATTTTTTAGGAAATAATTGAAATTAAAATTGAAATAATTAAATTTCAAAGAATTATACATGAAGTAAGGGTAAAATTTTCCGAGGAGTGCTATAAAGTGTACTATTTTTTGTTACCGATCTTTTTGGAAACCGGTTTCAAGTGACTGAATGTCAAAGAATTGTACATAAAATAGGGGTTGAATTTCCCGGGGAGTGCTATAAAGTATATAATTTTTTGTTACCGATCTTTTTGGAAATTGGTATCAGAAGTTTGACAAATTTTTCGGGAAATAATTGATCAAATTTTAAAGAATTGTATATAAAATAGGGGTAGAATTTCCCGGGGAGTGCTATAAACTGTATAGTTTTTCGTTACCGATCTTTTTGAGAACCGGTATCTTTTTGGAAATCGGTTACGAAATTTTCCAGAAAGAGAGGAAGAGGGGGGGAGAGAGAGAGAAAGAGAGAAAGAGAGAGAGAGAGAGAGAGAGAGAGAGAGAGAGAGAAAGAAAGAGAGAGAAAGAGAGAGAGAGAGAGGGAGAGAGAGAGGGAGAGGGAGAGAGAGAGGGAGAGAGGAAGAGAGAGAGGGAGAGAGAGAGGAAGAGAGAGAAAGAGAGAGAGAGAGAGGGAGAGGGAGAGAGAGAGGGAGAGAGTGGGAAAGAGAGAGAGGGAGAGAGAGAAGGAGAGAGTGGGAGAGAGGGAGAGAAAAAGAGAGAGAGAGAGAGAGAGAAGGAGAGAAAGACTATTTGCGTGTCTTACATATGTTACTTATTACATATGTCCTCCGGAGCGAAGCCCGGGTAACCAGCTAGTATTATATAGATACTAGATTTTTTGCCCGCGCTTCGCGCGGGCTCAAAATCTATTCCCCTCTCCCCAAACTCACTCATTAATTAGGAGCACCAATAGAACCCTATAAAACCCAATTTTCAATCCCATAGTAGCCATCTCCATAAAATTAGTAATCTTTTGGTACCAATTTCATCAAAATCATCAACAAAAAATTAGAAAAATTTTGGCACCGGTTTCAAGAAAATCGATCCATTAATAAAAAATTAAACTTATCCTCCAAAAATTTAAAAAATTTTGGCACTGGTTTCAAAAAAATCGGTCAATTAATACTTATTATTTCTCAAAATTTTAATAATTTCCAAACCGGTTTCTAAAAATTGGTAACAAAAAATTATCTATAAAAATTATCCATTAAAAAAATTATCCATTAAAAAATTCAGCTTGATATCTCAGTTTGCGGAAATTAGAGCAATCACTATATATTTTTTTTAACAGAAATTGTAAACCACTTTACTATTAGCAATTTTTCTAATTCTATTACATTCTTTAGTTCTTTCTACCCCTATCTATATGTATATATAAGTACCTGACGTCTGTATGTCTGTCCGTCTGACGCGAACTACTTGTTATTTTCCGAGAAATTGGAAAAATTTTGTAATCGGTTTCCAAAAACCGGTCTTAATCGCTCGCGACAATCACGAATTAAAGTAACTGGTTAATTCCCAAAAAATTTAAAAAATTTCTGATATCGGCTTCCAAAAAAATCGGTAACAAAAAATTATACACTTTATAGCACTCCCCGGAAAATTCTACCCCTGTTTCATATATAACTCTTTGATCAATATATAAAATTCGGTCAATTATTTCCCGAAAAATTAGAAAAACCGGTTTCCAGAAAATTGGTAGCAAATCCTACATACAACATATTTCATTTAAAACTAATCGACCTATGACCTATCGATTTAATTCCCGAAAATTATAAAAAAAAAAGATTTATTTTTTTTTTTGGCCTTTGCAGCTTCCTCCATTTCATAATTTAGTGCTGCTCTTAGCAATAGATCATCGTCTTCTTTCTAATGTACATTTTTTAAAAAATCACGCAGATTTTTTTAAACAAAAATCGGAAACGTTTCAAGAAAATCAGTACATTAATGAAAAATTAAACTCGCGGTTTCAAAAAAATCAGTATATACAATTCTTTGAGATTCGGTCAATTATTTCCAGAAAAATTGGAAAAATTTTGGAACCGGTTTCCAAAAAGATCGGTAACGAAAAATTATACACTTTATGGCAATTCCCGGGAAATATTCTACCCCTACTTCATATACAATTCTTTACGATTCGGTCAATTAATTCCCGAAGAGTTGGAAAAATTTCGCAACCAGTTTCCAAAAAGATCGGTAACGAAAAATTGTACACTTTATGGCACTCTCTGGGACATATATATTCTATCCTTACTTCATATACAATTCTTTGAGATTTGGTCAATTAATTCTCGTAAAATTTGAAAAAATTTCGGAACCGGTTTCCAGAAAATCAGTAGCAAAAAATTGGCCGCGACATTTTCATCCCCGGGATATTCTACCCCAGTTTCATATACTTTTAGTAAAAATTCGGTCCACTAACGAATGAGTAGTTCGCGTACAGACAGAGAGACAGACAGACGTGACTTATATATATAGATATATATGAATTATGTATGCATATAAAAATACATATTTATAAAAAATGTAAATTAAATATTAAAGATATAACAGATTATTATTAAATTAAAGATATAAAATCCTTTTTACTTTACTTTAAAACAAACAAATATTATAATTTTTTTATTGTGTTATATGGAGGTCTCCTGCGAGGGTATCCTATGTATTGTTATCTTCATTTAACATATGCTTGTATGCTAATAATTTCACCTGTTTATTCGTAACATAGAAATTTTCCTTTCAACGACATCCGCGTCGACCGTAATCATTGGAGCGACGCCGACGTAAAATTTTGCTAGATGCGATGAAATCACTTACCCATCGGAATGTGACACGAGTCCGGCGAAGTCGTCCATCGGACAACCAATAAACATCAACACACCCATGCCGATCGCGTAAACGACCGCGGTGAAGGCGATCCAGGCTGCGACGAATCTGGCATTAGGCTTCGCTCTCAAGATAAATACGCCGCTAATTATGATGCCCAATCCCATCACTAGGATCCCGCCAACACCTGTGCAAAAAATCGCGTTCATTATACGACCGTTCAGAGCCATTCACCTGGCAATTCATGTTGTGCGTCATAATCCAGTCATGGAAACTCAAGAATGGCATGGCGATAGTCACTTCATTAAAATAGACTTCACTAATAAAAAAAATCAGCGCACTTGTCGAATAAAAACACGTTGTTCTCTTAATACACTAAATAGTGTAAAGTATATTATTACATTATAGTTGTGTAAAAAACAAAATTGACAACCATATATTTTATTAACTTATTTCTAATTAAGCTACTACTTACTTTAAGCTAAGACTATCCAATATTTTATTTAATAAGTCAAATAAATTTTATTATTTAATCTTCTTTATTCAATATATATATATCATAAAAAAAGAGCTTTTCAATAATTACAAAGTATATCAAATATAGTGTTCAAAATTTGTCATAACGCTTCAGAATTAAAGTGCTCTACTTGTATTTTTATTAGTTTAATACATTTTCGTCGCGGGCAGCTACGAAATAATTCAAAATCAGTACAATAGCATTGCGAAACAATGGTAGCTCTCAAAATATTCGCCACTAAATAATACGACCATACTTAATTAATATAAGCCGGACAAGCGTAAAATGACGGGAAGTAGAATCAGAATGTAGAAACGGAATGTAGCCTTGTTCTACGGCCGACGCCAATTATTCGGCGGACAATATCATAAATTAACGCGTGCACGTACGTAAGATAAGGTACTATACAATTAATACCGAGATACGCGCGAGTTCGTTCCACCGTTTATATCGAACTATCTATTATCGCTGCACGCGCAGCCAGGCCACGATACTACTAGCAACATCTTCCATTACGTCACTTTAACATTATTTATTCATTATAATTTTAATTAATATTTTTCAAAAAAAAAGAATCGGAAGTATGTATAATGTTGCTGTAAATTACACTCTCTAAATCTCATAGAGCATGGTTTCGCTACTAATATATTAGAGTGATTGCGATAGTCACTTCAAAAGAAAGGGTCGCCACTCTAATTTGAGTAAATGCAGACACTCATAAGGTAAAAGTGAATTTTTCACTCAAATTTTTAGAGCGGCTACTCTACCGTAGTGGTACGATCTCACTCTAAAGTTATATCACGATTCACCGAAGTTTGACTGATAAATAATAATTCTAACAGAGTAAAATTTTTCACTCAAAATTGTAGAATGACATAATTCATTCCTGTGGACACTGATCTACTGTACTCAAATGGAGTGATGCGATTTCACTCCAACTTATGGAGCGCAATATTTTGCTCTTTGTTAGAGTGGCGAAACGCTCAAAGTGCACAGGTTCAATTTTCACTTTTCATTACAATTGCATTTCACATTTTGAGTGATATTTCAGTTTTTGACTTTTAGAAAGCATACATGTTTTTTTTTAAGTCGTACAAAGCATTAATAATAATTCCAGATTATTCTGTTTGATTGGCCGACAGATTTTGTCGCAACTTCCTGCACGATGGACGAAGTGAGAAAACAAGGTTTTTTTTCTCGTGAGCAAAATGACCACGACCGTTCTGACGTTTACGTCAAATTATCCACTTTGCGTCGTAATCGCGACGGACATCCGGCGACGAAATCTTGCGACGTCGCCCGCCCGATCTTTCAGGAAACGTCGTCGCTGTTATTCCGGAGGACACGATTCATCTCTCACGGTGCGCATATCATCAGTAATATAATTGGGGATACATTTCGGGGTTCTCGGAGGCCCCGCTCGCGTGTTCACTCGCGATAATTACCTGAGATCATGTTCGCATGATGAGCCGGCAGGCGAAATTGGCTCTCGAGGTACTTGGGCAGAAAGGTATAGAGACCGGCGATTGGCAGGATGTGTAACACACTACTTGCGGTTCTGAACATCAGAATGTCGTTCTTCAACAGCCTCTTTACAGCGCTGGGAAAGTCTGCAACAGTAAACAATCAAAGTGTTAATATATGAATGTGCGCGTGTGAGAGTGCAAGAATTAATATCAGATCAGTCCGTAAACTTCTGCTTGTACGTGTTCATTAAGGTTGTCATCGACTTCCGACACAGGTGAAACAAAAAAGAATTACAGCAATTGACAACCAGAAATTTTTGAATAATAAATATTTATCATCGATTAAAATGTAAATTGTGTCTTATTTTCCTTGTCTGAAAACCGTTGGAAGATAGATGTAAATCTAGTAACCTAATAGCAATAAATCAGTCGACGTGCGTATAGAAGGTATCAGATAACGGACGTTCTAACAAAATCCGATTGGATGCCATGTCCTTTCGAAATTTTCGAAAGTCCGACGTGAAATGTCCCACTAATTATGCTCCCTCTAGGCAAATGAGAGAAATGAGATCTCTCGGACCGCCGTATTAATGTACAACGGGTATACGGGTCATCGACTCGAAATGTTACACGTTTCATGGACGAAGGTTACGCAGGGCTTAGCGATAGTCCTAGTCGTGCGATCTGGCTCCGCCGCCGCGCAGATGCATCTCGTGGCAAGCGAGAGATGCACGCGTGGCCACACGGTTATCTCTTATTGGTCCCGGTCTCGCCTGATCTTCCCTCTGTCCCTTCGAGCCGTACGTACAGCCGTATATACTCGTCCTCTGCGAATCTGACAGAGTTGCCGGGTCTACCGATCCGCCGTATATTTACGAGCTCGATTACGAGGGGCGAGCTAATTAGCCAGCAATCGAGTCCTCTCCTCTTCGCGTCCTCTTCCTCGGGAGGATGCGAAAGGGTTCGAAGGTGGTCGGTGATGGGAAACAGGAACGGAGGAAGAGATCGCGCCGAGAAAAGGAGAAAAGGAGGCTCCGTGCTGTACGATTCTGCGTTATAAAGCCCTGAGCGATTCCAAGCGACTTTATAGCATTGACGACGACGACGACAACGGCTACGTTTACTGGCAGTTTCACTGGAATCAGTGTAACGTATCGGTGGAGATCGATGCGTCGCGTGGACTTTTACACACGCGTTTACCTTCGTCAGACAAAGGTACATATCGCTCGGCCAAACAAACGTATTGACCCATTGAAAAACGTATAGACCTGCTTTCTAGGAAGCTATAGTCCGCCAGCATTCTAGTTCCCCGATGATTAAGGAACGATATTATTGCGATTGAAATGCACAAAATTATTCTCGAGGCTCGGCAAACGCATTTATACACCTCTCGAATTAATTTACTGTCAGTTTTAACGAGAGAAACATTCGCGATTGTCTCTTTCGATAAATCGTCATAAGACTCAAAATAAAAAATTATTTTTCTGTATGCTATAGCATTCAGACGTAAAAAGAGCAATTTAAAATTAATATAGTATATTTGTTTTTAACGTTGAATACCGTTGAAGCTATGGATGCATACATTTCTTCCTGTCCCATTTTGAAAAGTAGCAAAACAAAGGATTTTGATAATTTAAAATCAAATACTGTCGTAAAGTTTCTTTAAAAATTACGAAAGTATTGAAAAAGTATATCGCAAAATTTTAAAAATCTCTCATGCATCAAGGAATTAAAAATATTTGAAATAAAAGTTTCAGAGTATTTTAAGCTCTATCGCAATCACGCGATTTCACTTTTCAGATGAAGTCTCGAGAAAAAGAGATTCGTCCCTTTAAAAAGCCCGATTATTATAAATCGAGGAGCGGGTCAAAGGGTTAATTAATCACTTTGCAATTTGCTCAAAGAGAGGCTAAATGAATGCCCCTCGGTCTTCTTCCGCTGAGGACTTAATTTATCTCCTCGGGACGAGTCTCGAGTATCTTTTTCGCACGATACTGTAGAAAGTGTACAGTATATGCGTAACCTTGTGCGTGCAAACGCGGCTATATGCCTAGGACTTGCCTAGAAGTCTTCTAGGTACCCGTGAGAGGCCAGCTAGGAGAGGCAACTCCGGTCGTGGCAACTCCGCATAGGGACGTCCCACAGACCATGAGTAGACAAACGTGACTAACATTGCGCTCCGAGTATTATCGCGCACGTATAGCGTACCCTTTAAAGGTTCGAACGTGAGACGCCGATCGCTATCGTATATTTAAAAATATATCCATTCGCGTTACGGACAGATGTTTCACCTCGCCGATTTCGCAACTCCATTAAGTGATTAACGCATCAAGAGACACAAATAAATCGACGCGGTCCGGTGAGAGAGCATATACGTGCAGATTATGCGGACGCATAAATGTTATACATTTTATAATTACAACTCATCGCTCATCAAATTTAACGATTACGCAATAGTTGGATAACAATCGAGTCTGATTGGAGTAGGCTTATTCGGTGAGATTTGAATACTGCAGGGCAGGTCAATTGTACCCTCCAAACCTAATCGTCGTGAATTCAAAATATCTGATCTCTACAACTGCAGTAATAATTAAAATTTTTCGGTGTCGCGATCTCTTCATATCACTGTGTAACTCGATTTACACACGCATGGAACATGGCGTCGGGCTCGGAGATAAGCTACGCCTAAAACGCGCAGCAGTAAAATATTCGTTACAAATATGCAGAGGCACGGCGACGCGCTTTAAACAAAATAACATCGTATCCGACAATAAATAAAACATTAGAAGAGACGCGAGTTAAAAGTTAGACATTAAAAAGGCTCGCACGTAGGCGATCCGCCGAATTAAGCGCGACGGTGTTAGTAATGCAGCTCGTATAGCGCGAGCGAACTGCGTATAGAGCGACCGAGAATAACGCGGAAGAGAGAGGAAGAGGACGAGAGGAACACAGAACGCAGAACGTAAAAAAAAAAAAAACGGGAGGGAGAAGAGAGAGAAAAGGAAAAAAACGATCCAAATGAGAGACACACGTATGTTAGTCCGTGTGCACGCGCAAAACGTACGCGCGTGCGTGTCCACCACCGCCTCTATGCACGACGCGTGACCGTGAACTTGCCCCACCTCGTGCACGAGTCGGTCAGTCATTATTATTAACGCACACACGCAGAGAGTGGCGGCGGCGGCGTGTGCACTCCCGACGCGTACACGCACACACGTTCACGTGAACGCACCGTCCTCACACGAGAGGGTCTGTTAGGAGCATCCGACGATTTCAGGGCTTTCGACGTCGGAGAACGAGCTAAGTTCTCGCTTAGTTACGCAGTAACGCGATACGCGATACGCGATACGCGATAATTGAGACGAAGCGTTTCGAAAATCGCATATAGAAAACTGTTTGAGAAACTTATTAGAAAGTGTACCATTTGTGTCCTTTCGAAAATATACGAACTATGAAAATTTGTTCTTACGCGTTTGCCCTTTTCTGGTCCCTTAGTATTGCATTATAAACAGCTGTATGGAATTTTTAAACACAATTGGAACACAATGTCCAAACCGAGACTTAAAACGTCTTAATGACGTTTTTATGTCCCGATATGGGACATATGTTGTCTGGGTTAAAGGAAATATCACAGTAGATTTTTGTTTTCAAGAGAAAAATTTAGTTACAAAAGACTGTTTTTTTTACAAAGAATGTAATACGCAAATTAATATTATCTTCAAAAAGAATTTTTCTTTTAATGTTCTATCAAGACACTTTTAGGGTATCTTTTCAGGGTTAATTATTATATTTGCAACCAATATAATGACTTTAATATAAACGCGCATTAACATGATAAAACGTTTTAAATTTTCGTCAATACTTTGAGCGGCTTGAGAGAAATCAAAAGATTAAACAGGTCAAGGTGATTGGATCGCAAACGAAGCATGAAACACCGTCTTCAAAGAGCCACTTCTGGCAGTAGAAGTTCAGCTGGAAATACCGAGGGAGGGAAAAAAACGGCAAACGCGCAGGAATCTAATCAGGGGACGAGGCTGATTATTCACAGTTGCTGAATTTCGCGAGAGAGTCGCTCGAGGAGAGGACGATTCTCCATGGAGAGAGCCTAATCGCGCGCCTAACTCTTTTCTTTTTTTTTACAGGCGTGTCGAAACCTGTAAATCTCGGCGCGAGCCGTACTCTTTCCCGATTGGACCCGCATACATTATAGGCGGAGGATACCGATTTTCTCCGCTCGGCACCTAGATTCGCCATTGACCTTGGACCGCCGGCCGGAGGCTTACCGGCTTCGGAGATCGCTCGATTCGCCTCGTATCCTTCTTTTATACGCGCAGATAGAGCCATATAAATGCGTTATTCGTCGCCGCGCGATGACGACGAGACCGATATCGAGATCCCGCGCGAGATATCGATGCAGCTGCAGATGTGGCAGCATCGTGATTCATCCTGTTGCATCTCGATCGTCGTCGGAGAATGGAAGCGATTTAAACGCGTGGGTTGTTATAGATCGAACACACGTTCCTAACTTGAATAATGTAGCCGAAGTTTTCTACAGCGACGTAGAAAATTATTTACAATTGGGAAAGAATTCTGGTAAAAAATATTATTATACATAAATACTCTCTAGAGTACAATGCATCGCTCGTATTTTTTTTTAATTTTGTAATAATTAGAATTTTTTAATGATCCTCATACTTTTATTCCTATTTTCTCTAAATATAAAAAAATCAAATATTATAATAAAAGTCATTTAATCGACGAAAAATTAAATTAACGGGTCGAAAGAAAATCGACGAAAATCATGATTCAGGGCACACCGATATATTGTTACCTTGATGTGCAATGTAAATATGTGTGTAAGAGAAAGCATTATCTGAGCCGTAGGCGAAATCGCTAGTCGTGAGCTCCCGATTAACTTACGAAGAGCACATTGTCTCCGGCTTCTATTTGCATTCTCGTTAGCCTTCGATCCACGGCACTATGGCAAGTGGCTGATGGCGTGCAGAATTTCGCCTTTCGTCGCGATACTTTCAGCGCACAACAAAAACACACTTGCCGTTACGTTACGTGGAAATATAATTAGCAATCACGCGAAAGCCACTCTGCTTTTCCTTCGCAATACTCATTTTCCTGCAGCATTCACTTTCATATGTACTCTCATGTGCCATTTATACATTCATAATTATATCTTTTTGCAGATTTACATAAGATAATCTCGAATATATGAAATAATCATTAAAGGATGTGTTTTTGTGCTTTTGATCAAGTGCCAGTCATAACAATCATCAGGCATTTGAGCAGACATTTATACGAAACTGCACTCTGACAATGAGAAATAAAAGTTGTTAACTTGATTAAATATTTTCAACTGATTATTATTTTTTTAATTGAAATATTTAAGTATTTGAGTCGAATTACGTTATGTTAGATTTAATATGTAGTATTTAATTTAAATACATAAATATTTCAATTAAAGAAATAAAAATCAATTGAAAATATTTAATCAAGTTAACAACTTTTTTCTCAGTGTGGGATACAAGGTCTCACCTTACACACATATTTACATATTTTTAACTCAAGCTAGTTTGAGTTAATTTCACACTTATTTTCGAGTCCTTAATTCGCCACTTCCGCGAGACCGCTCGAACTTTGTCGCGTTGTCATTTTCATTCTAATTAATATTTTCATAGCTTGTACTGTAGAAATTGGAAATACAGAATCTGAATAAGATGTTATGACAATATCAGGTAAAAAAATGATTTAAATTTAAACTGAACTTATTATAAGGAAACTAGAAAATTATATTATTATACAAATACCAGAAAACCAAAAAACGTTTAGCGGTCCACTAGAGCGGAATGTGGCGAGCTAGGGTTCAAACTTTGCTCGGGCAAATTCTAACGTTTAATCAATTTCCAATTCGAAACCCCTTATCTCTATGCAATTTATTCGCATAGCGTGCGCGCGATGTTATCACACGCATGCAGGGATTAATTCGCTATAAATGCCAGTACGAACTATAATCAGGCGTCGAGAATATATCACAATCGTGCAGATTACAATCATAGAACGAAGGGAAAGAAAGCGCGAATGCGCGAATGCGACGACATACGCAGCACGGGCTAAATTTACACGTGAGCATTACGCCAACGAGGATAAATTGATATCACAGCGGAACGGGCAACACACGCTCCGCCCATTATTCTTCTCGTTCCCGCGGAATCGTCCTCAAGATCGTTCGCACGGAAAATCGCGGGACAGAAAGGGAGAAGGAGATAATGAAGGAAAGAGAGACGGGAACTGCCGCAAAGCAGCTTACGGCGAGCCATAAAAACAGATTAAGTTGGCGCGAGAGATCCGATGCCGTGCGGTCGACAACGGCGGCAACTAGCCTGACGAAAGAGATCGGAGAGACATATTCCCGCCGGATAAATCTGGACTTACCTCTCAAACTGGGCTTTTGTGAGTCCGCTCGTCGAGGTGGCGTTCGGCTGGCCGGCAAACGGGTTGGGAACGCGAACATACCTATACTCACGATCATCAGCATCGCTGATATCAAAACTAATCCTGAAACATTATACGAAAAGTCAGTGAAAGAGAAGTCTCGCATAGTTTAAAAAAAAAGTAAAGTACAAAGTTGCCTCACAACAACGAATTACAGGCACAAGTAAAACACACCAGTTATCTGAACAAATAAAACTGTCGTATAATACTATTAATTATACACACAAAATTTTCAATACATACACACTGTATTGTGTGTGTGTGTGTGTGTGTTACATTTACTTATAAGATATAATTAAGATATAATAAGTGTACTTTATATATTATATAATTATATAATTAAGTATTTTAACTTACAATTTGAGAATTTTCCAATTTATTATTTTTTACTATCCTTATACGTAATTTTACACATAACTTGTTATATTTTTGTTCTTTTTGTTTTTTAGTCACTTCTACCTTATTCTCACAGTTATCTGCTCGCATTATAATATTTATTTCTTGTCGCCTTTCATATTTGCGAAGTACAGTTCTAACTTTTGTTATTGGCAAACCCATAAAGCGAGCAATTATGTACTCCGAATTATGATGCATTTTAACTGCATGATGCGCCACGACAATATTTGCTCTTACGAACCCGATAAATGGTTTCTTTATTTCAACCATGCTGTTGGAGCTTCGTACTTTTACTGTTGCTGTTACATTTGGTACTGCTACATCAGCCGCGATTAGTGTTTCTCTTGAAATGACTTGTTATTATCTATGTTGCGAAAGTCATTTTGTGTTTATTTCGCACTATGTTTTATAATATACAAACAGACAATATATAGATATTTATTACGTATGAATTTGACGTCTTTACTAATATTTTCATAAAACGCGCGAACATTTTAATTTTATTTACGCATAATTTAATCTAAGATATTTAGAAATAAATCCAAATGTTACGATATAACAAATATTAATAAGTAGAAATTGGTAGAAAAAAATATTTTTGAAATTTTTGAATAATTGATGTCCGGATAATTGGTGTGCTCTACTAGTGTATATAATTATACATTTATTATAACAACATATATATAAATATATAATATATGCATATATTACAAGTTAATAAATAATAACAATTATATTTTTATAAAATCGGTACAAGGCCTAGCATTTTTATTAACACCAGATATAAACAGTGCGGAAATGTTTAACGCATTTAAAATAACTTATTAGCTTGCTACCCTTTACCATCAATTGCTATATCCACGTAATTATTTTTATGCCGCCGAACGTATATTTCAATAAGAAAACGAGCACGAGAGACCAGTTGAAAACCGGCTAATGATACGCTCTCGCGACAAACGCAGATAGATTTGTCACGTAATACGCAATTTGAACAATGAAGGTCAAGCGACCTTTAGCGAATCAAGTCTTTTTGCGTCTCTACATTAAATCAAAGGTTAAATGCCTTATGAAGAATTCCGGTATCGATTATAATCCATATTATAAAATAACTTAAGTAAAATCTTTTGCAAGTGGAGTATTTTTTTTACATTATTCCTACTCTGAGCTAATCATATTATTTCCAATTTCGATATTATAATTTATTTGAACTTACCGAGCCACCAAGCACCGACCCATCTTGGATCCGATGGCGTAATCTGCGGATTTCTCGACAAATCTGCGTAGACCATCGTGCACAAGGAACCGAGAATAAAGCCTAACGCTGGCCCGAGAATCCGTACTCCGATAGTGATCGCTGTTGCATATAATCAAATGGTTTGTCAAATCTATAATCAATTTTCGGATAGTAATCTGATTTGCATAGAAAATAAAAATAAAAATAAATCTTTATACGTTATTAAAAAATAATTGCTTCTAACAATTAGAATTTAATAGTTATAAATATATGAGTAGCAGAAATAAATAGATAACTAAATTATTTTTTTTAATTAAAATGTATTACATAATCTGTTACAATAAAAAATGTATAAAATGAAAAAGGATGAATAAGAGTGATAATTTGTGAAAAAACTTACCGAAATACAAGGGACTCTCTCTACTGGCTACGTTATCATCGATATACGGTATACCGAGGGTATATACCGCCGTTTGACCCATTCCTACACCAAGTAAGGATACAAAAAATATCGCAAGCACCACCGTGGTTATTTTGCTCTGTATTCTCTGCTCCGTAAGAAAGTCGCCTTTGCAGTAGTCCGCCGAATCGGTTTGGGGTGCGGTCGTCGATATGTTCCACCTTCGAAAAACAAAAATAAAATAATAAAATTAATAAAGCAATACTTTTTCCGCGTCTACTTCGATACATACTGATCGTTTATATATACAAATTACTTAATCTTTGATGGCTTCTTGTAGAGTACACATGTAGATATACCGTATAATATTAAAATTAAACAAATGTCAAAAAAGTGATATGAATATATTAGTTCAAAAAATTAAAATTGATTATAAGATAAAGTAATAAGGTTTAAATTACGAGATCTGGCATTGACAATAAAGTTCTGTCGGCATATTTATAGAAGCATAGCATTTATAGAAGCAATAAATTTAGAATAATGGGTCTTTGTAATCTCATTATTCAGTCGGCAAAATTGAATTGTACAAATTGACTTATATTGTATAAATGTGTCACAATTATCGCTACCCAAATTTATCGCCGATAATTGTGTGCTATTTTACATTAAAATTGTCTATCAAATATTTACGGAAATACATCAGGAAACTGACGCCTACGTGAAAGGGATATATGATCATCTTTCTTCACGATAAATGATAAGCGCAGCTGCAACATGCGCGCGCGATACCAAGAAAAACGTAATCGGCATCGCTCCATTTTATTACCGCGTTAAATTGCGTAGATCAGTTTCGAGCATTCCGCCCGCCACGGAATCTCATTGTGCTCGGCCAATGCGGACGCTTTCATTATGTAACAGCAATTAGAGAAATTACGGCACACGTAGACGCGCCTCCTGAAAAATGGGTCCGTTACTATAATTATACTGCCGTCAGAAAACGATGTTATCAACCAAACTTTCTCGCTCGTTAACCAAACACGTTATTGTTTTCTCCCCTCCCCCCTTCTCTCTGTCTCGTGTGAAAATTGATCTCCTTTATGCACTACAATACGTCACTAGTATAACGTATGTGACGTGAAATTAATACGGGTATTAAAACTTTAAACAGATAAATGTTTCGATAAAAGTCTCCCTTTTCGGGTAAAAGTCTCCTCGCTATTTTAGAAACATTTCCGAAAATAGAAATAGAACGAAAAGGAGGACTATATTAAAACTCTGTTGTAATAATCCTAAAAAAGTGAAATTAATACTCGCATAAATTGCACGCTTCCGTTCTTCCGTAAAAAAAAATATTTTTAAAAAGATTTAAAAACAATTCCTTTTTAAATTAATTTATTATATTCTTTGAGGTAAATCTTTCCTCAAGCTATTTAAATGTACTGTACTAAATATAGGGTAACTGGGGTGAATATGCCACACTTAACAAAAATTTGATTTTTTTCTATTTTTCTTTCTTTAATCTGTTATTTGTATATAATTTCAATAAATCATATATATTTGATTTTTTAGTAAATTCTAACCAATACTAATAGAACGACAAACTAATCGAGTTAAAAATAATGTAACGCTTGAATAACTTACATAAAACATCAAAAAAGTTCTACACAGCATGTTGTCAAATATACATACTTGCCTCATAAAAACTATAATACTGCCAGGAAATGAACAAAACTTATCCAAAACGTCAGATATAGAACTATGAACAATTTCATGGTATATATTTACATAAAAGCGCTTTTAGCCGTAAGCTTTGTTAAACATAAAAGATGACGATCATGGCGCAGAGAAATGTGCGCTGCTCTAATGAGCCGAAGATCCGAGTTCAAATCCAGACCAAAAATCGTCGATTTTTATTCGATCGTTACCTCTCGGAATCAAAAGGTGATGGCAACCCATCGAAAGTATTCTGTCACGAGAATTCCTCTATATATTTGAAGAGAAAACCGATCCTCCAAGTTAGGGAATGGGACATATTCCCCTCCCCCCCCCCCTCAGTATTAGTTACCCTAACCTTTCTATAAATATAAGACATCTGTTAGTTCACAACATATCTCCTAATATGGTCCTCCTCTTCGTTCTATTTCTATTTCCAGAACTGTTTCCAAAATAGAGAGGCCACTTCCGGCCGAAAATATTCATCTGTTTAAGAACGTTCTCCGGAAAATCGATTTTCTCTAGATTTTCTTGAAACTGTGAATATACATTAATTTAGGTGTGCTTTATGCGTGGTATAAATTTTAGTACCTCTTGCGGTATTAAAAATCGAGATACTGAGCTTCAAAGTTTCAACTTTTAACATGGGATTCCTATTCCGAGCTATTGTGAAACAGGCATTATAATGAATTGTGAAAAAAGTTTTCTCTAAATGTTTTTGAAAAACTAGTATATGATGCTCCATAAAAATGGAAATAATGTGCGATAAATGTCAAAATACTCTTGCGGTACTCGTTTTCGAGAAATACTTATGTAAAGTACGCGATTTGATGAATTTTTCGCTCGGTTCAGAATGGCAGAAAAGGATAGGCCTCAGTTACTTGGCAACGCCGCATGAGTTCTCACGCGTAAAGTTAACTTCTTATTTTTTAGATGTTATTATATGTAATATTATGTATATAAACAATTAACTTCAGTAAAATAAATTTTTCTTTTTAAGCATGAATACAAGTTGAGCACGACTGGAGCCGGAGAACGTCCTTAAAGTTTTGGAGATAACACAAGAAGCGCAATTCATTTCCCATTATATTAGTTGTTGCGGATCATGAATAGCCGATGCAACACATTCCGCAGAAATACCAACCAATTCTTGTATAATACAGAGTTTGACGCAAAACTACATACCCATTACTTCGGCGGTATTCGGCCTTACATTGTGTATTTATCACAGCAAATGATTATTGTATCTCCCGAAACGAATAACACAGCTGATTGTTTGCACGCCGCCTTGTTTCTCCGCGAGACATTGTAATAACGAGACGATCGTAAATTTCCCTCAATCATAAACTTTTTTTTTCCATTGATTCCCACAAGTAAACGAACAAGTGATTTGAATTTGTTAAGCGAGAAGTAAATTTTAAAAATACGAATCATTAACCGCTGTTAAACCGGATTAAAATAATCGATGGACTAATACCTATATTAATTATATATCTTATTATAGTGCTAATCGAACCGATAATTTTATTAAATTAACTGATTAATCAATCATCTATTAATGTGTAACAACCGCTGATAATTCCAAATAATTCGATTTCTCCCTCGCACTCGCATTTGCTATAACTGCGAATACTGCGATATCAATTCTAATTCTCCCGTGTTTTTGATGATTCACGATTATCGTGTTAGCTATTACTTAATCACGAGGGTAAAAGCCAATAAAGATATCCCCGTTCATTATGATGAATCGTTGGGAGGCGGCACTCGTTAAAAATTTAGAAATAGAAGAGGATAACTCGAAGGAGAGTTATGACAACGGCACTCACCCGTCCAACGTGCTGTTTCTTTCCTGGAACTTGCAGAGATTCGCCGGTATCGGATACGTGCTGTTGGGCCCGTGGCCATCGACGCCGGGCCCGACGCCGCTGAACAGCATCTCGTTCTGAAGAATCAGCTGTTCGCCAAAGATAAAGTGGGGTATCGAGCAGGTGAACGAGCTCACGGCGAAGAGGATCATGCCCCAGGCTATCCACTTGGGCCGGTGACCTTGGCCGCCATAATACGTTAGTAACAGGGAAGACCCGATCTGACCGATTTCAGTGGCCGACATGATAATCCCCGTCGTCTTCGACTGGATTTGGAAGAGCTTCTCTATTGTCGTGATGACAGAGACAAAGTACGTGTAGTACATGCCCTGAAGTACCTGTGGTGAAAAGAAATAAAGATTTGTTTAACGCCAACTTACCAGGGTAAACTCGTCCTGTAAATTTTATTCAATCAAATCGTTTATTCTTTATTCTCTTTAACTTGCACGAAAAAATCAATAAATCCTTTAATAATTTGTTCCTTCAAAATTGATGTAATTTTTGCTGCCTCTTTTTACCTTCTTACTCTCTAAATCTTATAAAGTGGTTTTCACACTAATATATTAGAGTAATTGAGATAGTCACTCCAAAAGAAAGGGTTGTCATTTTAATTTGAGTAAATGCGGGCACTCATAAGGTAAATTTTTCATTCGAATTTTTAAAGTGACATAATTCACTCCTATAGACACTGATCTACTGCACTCGAAAAGAGTGCCCTTTTAAATAGAATGCGATTTCACTCTAACTTATAGTCGAGCGCAATTTTACTCTTTCTTAGAGTGGCGAATCACGAAGTGCACAAGCTTAATTTTTACTTTTCGTTACACTTGCATTTCACTCTTCGATTTTTAAAGCGAGTACTTTTTATTTTACTTCCATTCTTAATCGTCTATTATATATCATTTCTAATAAATTTATTTACTCAAAAGATTATACACTTCGACGTACTGACCCAGGTGAGGCAGAAGGTCACTAGGAAGGCTTGCTTCGTGGCAAAGTACTGCAGCCAGTGGGGCCTGCAGGGGCCCCATCCACAGGACACGTCGGCGTCGTCGAACTCCGTGTGAAGGCTGCTCGACCTCTCATCCGGCACGATCAGATTGCCATTTTCCGTGCCGCCGATCTCGCCGTGCAACTTCCCATTCGGTATCAAGCCGTTGTTGTTGTGCTGCTTGTCGCCGCAGATCAGCCCGTTTCCGTTCGTCATTTTCGGTGGGATTATTGTGAGAGCCTCCACGGTGCCGTTCGACAAAATCTGTGTGTCCTCGCCTGCCATTATTTCCCCCTCACTTTTTCGTGAATACGCGATAAAATAATTGTTTTTCTTCCCTCGTTTTCAGCACCCTCGTGAACTCTAGCTATAGGATTCTTCCTCGTTGAGAAGAATCTTTTGGCCACTCGAAAGGCTCACATTCGACTGATCAATCTGTAACCAGAAGAGAAAAATTATTAGATAATATTAACGTATAGTATATATATATATATATACAAATAATTAATCATATTCCAACTTCTCTCAAGCTTTTAAACTTGATTTTAATTATTGCATTTAACGGTATCGATATTACATAAATTTGCAAAATTGTTGAATTTTTTACATCCCAAAAAAGATCCAAGAAATTCGGGCAGTCAAATTCCTAACTTGTGTGTCTCGCTGCATTATTTATAACTGCAATCATGCAGATCGTTCGACGTGCCTTCCCCGAAATCTCGTTTTGTTCCCGCGAGCGCAAACGCAAATTTCAGGGTTCGCGTCCAGTACAGTTATTTAATCTCTGCCACCCGAGAGAAAGGTTTACGAGAACCATGCAGTTGCCTCCTTTTCTCTCCCCCAGTATTTATTTGTAATACCAAATAAATAATACCCGCGGGGGGTTTAGACAAAAAGCGGCCGGTTGAAAGCGCGCGTTCAGGGTGTAATGCGAGTAATGTCATTTGGTAACAACTTACGGCGTATAAAATGTGGGACTTTACGACACCAGACTCCGCACCGCGGCGGCACCCCAGCCGGATTGTATTATATGGAATTAGTACGCCGTTGACGTAACGCATTCGAACAATCGCCTTACGAAATCTTCGGGCGGTCGCGCACGCCCGGCAAATAAAGTATAGTGCATGTTAAAAGAAAAATTAAAGAAAGAAAGGAAAGAATCACACGCGAGAGCAAACGTGAAAGTTACTCTCCGATAAAACGTTCGTCATCGTGCGGTATGCAGAACGCGCATATCAATTCTATCTCCGAGAATCCACAAGTAGCTCTGATGTCTAGGTCATGAGCGTAACGAGAAAATAATCTTAGTGAACGCGAGAAATTTAATTTTTGCTGTGCAATAAACAAAATTACATGAACGTATAATGATAAAGGTAACACTACCCAGATAACACAATGTCTAAAATCGGGACATACAACATCTTAAAGACGTTATTAAAACGCCTTCAAGACGTTATTATAAAACGTCTTATGTCCCGATTTTGGACATTGTGTTATCTAAGAAGCTTGTTTCGAGGATTCCTCTTAGAGAGAAACTGTTTTACCAAGTCAGTTATTCACTTATATAAATATATAAAAATTCATACTGCAATGCACTTTTTTTGTTTCTCAAATTTTTTTATGTGTTATTGCATCTGTATTTTTGACAGATATATTTTAAGATTTGAACAATAAAAACTTCCAAGACTCCAAACGCTGCTAACCATTAATAATTCTTTTCACCGTTATGCATTTTTATTCTTCAAAAAACCAATTGGTTTAGCGCATTGTTAGAACTGTATTTTTTGCATTTTTAAACTTAAACAATGAAAAGATTCCAAAACTTGGGGTCCTATACTAACAATCAACCTCCGCCACTGCGCCTTTTTCGTTTTCCATCAATCGCGCCGCGCGCGGACCAACCGGACCGGCTACTCCATTAGAGGTGAACTCCTTTCTCTCGCGGTCGACTGCGGAATAAGCCGCCTGAGACACCCTGTAGCCGGCGTCCTCTCACTTTCATCGGTGCCCGATTTTCCTCATTTCCCTCGCGTTCCATTCCACGGGCTATCGCACCGACGGTTTTCACTGACAGCGCGAGTAGGAGTTTGTGCACTAGAACGCCACACTGCAGCTGGATATGTGTGACAGTGAAGACACGTTCTCACTTTCGCTTCGGGATTTCTTCGCAGTTAACGCCGACTTACGCGCTCGAAAATACGTACTCGCGACGCAAACTCGCTCGTAAATCAAGACGTAAGTGCCAGTAATTAATATTCTCACTTTAAAATAAACTTTAAAAAAAGTTATGTAAGAAATTTAAGCATTCAACTTATATAAAGAAACAGAAACTGCATACACGTAGTTTCAAAGGTGCTTAAAGAAGTAAAAGTTAATAATGTTTAAAACAAATTTCAAGTCACCGTAAACTTGTTGGATACTTGATATTTAATTATTTTCTAATTTTCACATATACACTGTTAAATTCATAGTATTTGTAATATGAAATTATACTCAATTTGAGTAATTTTAACCTTCTATAGATTGCTACTGCTCCTACTCAATATGTCGTTAATTTAACTAAAACAATATTAATTTAACTAAGCCAATAAAGTTTAAATATTATTGATTTATGTTAAAATAATAAATTTCAATACACACGGTAATTAAAAATAACAAAATGTTATTTATTAAAGTATTAGTTAAAATTTATTTTTGGTTCATTGGTTAAAATTCTTTAATATTTAATATTTCCTTATTTAATTTTTAAGTGTAATCTCAAATTTATAGCACACATATTACAATTTTTAATTCTTTTTAGTATTTTATTATCTTGACATTGAAGTGACAAAATCATATTATTTCAAAGTAGAACAAGTAGTCTTATATGCCAGACCATAATATCTGATGTATCTACTGCCGTATCAATATAGTGTCTAAAGAAATATTGAATAGGAGGGGGAGTCCGGGAGACTTGACCATAGAGGAGAGTTGAACCACTTCAAATATCTCGTTCAAATTTTGAACAAAGAGCTCAATCCGAGCACGTTAAAACACGTTTGTCTCACTCACAGTCGAAACGCACTACCAAGCGTCATATTGTCACGTGCTCGGATTGAGCTCTTTGTTCAAAATTTAAACGAGATATTTGAAGTGGTTCAACTCTCCTCTATGGTCAAGTCTCCCGGACTCCCCCTATAATATATTATATATCAAAAACATTTTATCATCATTAAAGTGATCAAACCATATTATTTCTAATTGTAAGTAGAAAAAACAGTTTTATATGTCTGACCATAATGTCCGTATCTACTGCCATATTAATATCTATCTATTTATCTAGACTAGATAAATATTGAGTAGATATAATATCAAAATATTTTATTATCTTGATACTGAAGTAATCAAGTCATATTATTTCAAAATATTGTACAAAAACAATCTTATATGTCTAATGACTATAATGTCTGTATCTACTGCGATAATACCAAAGCACACCGTTGTTTTGATTCCAAATTGTTAATTTCATCAGTAACGAGAAAGTAACAAATCAGGAGGATGAAATGTTTGCGGAATTAATAGATATCGCTATTTTCGGTAGAATACGCTAGGGCAGACACTTGCCGTACGATCTATTCAGCGACGCTGAATAAACAGCGCGGGAATTGCGAAACATCGTCGCGCGCGTTAGCGAGCGGATTTTATATCATCGTTAATGGTTTAACGGCGTATGGTGGCTGACCCCTAAAATCCTGTCTAAGAATACGAATCTGTTTACGGTACTACGATGCCGTTTCTACGCGCCATTGACCCTATAACATTCGCCATTCACCAGCACGCACTGTGCATGCATGAAAATTAGGATGAAGTTTGCGGCCCTCTTGAAAACAGACGCAGACTTGGCGCCTCCAGCATTTCTCCTTATTAGCGTGTATCAGATAATATTGTATTAAAAGATCAGCAAAGTCTCTTTCTATGTCATTAAATTAAATAAATTATATATTTACACAATTGTTCTTTTTTCCATATTTTTGATATGCAACTACAATAATTGTGAGTTTTAAAATAGAATTTTTGTTTTAACTCAACATCTCACTAATTTAATATTAAAAAATTTATGTGTTAATTAACAATTAACATACAATTACATATTATCGTTGCAAATCTTGATTAAGATTATATGGCGACCGTTGCATTGATTTCTCCCTCTCCGAACGGAATAGAATTTCTTTATTCGGCAGCCAAGGAAGTCGTCGAAAATTGGTATTTTTATCTTCCGTGCTTTTCTCGTGGCAGGAGTCGAGTATCAAAGTTACAATCTCGCAACGAGAACGAAATCGAAAGGACCGAAACGTCGCGGCGTCGCGCCGGCCGACTCTCTCGCGTCGCCTCGAACGGTCGGTTGGCGCGGCGGCCGGCTGCGATGGCGAAATTCTGCGAGAGCGCCTTTTTGCTGATCGTAAATCCTTTTCGGACAAGTCGTCCGCCCCTACCCCTTTCCCGCCCATCCTCTCATCTGCGTCCAGAGTGAAAATCTTTTGTAGAACCAGCTCCGACCCGCAAATATCTCACGAATGAATCAGTCGTAAAAATCAGGGAGAGTCGGACGTATTAGCAATTCAAGCCGCTTAAAATTATCCTGCACTTTTTTTGCAGTTTGGTTTAAGAAAAACAAATGTACAAAAAACAAAATAATAGCGATATACTGTTCTTTAAAAAAAAATAATTGCGCGATCTGTCTGGAAGTTACCGATTCTTATTCGATTTTTTTTTCTATTCCTATACTGAAAAATTCGAATTAAATTAACGAATATTTTATTCACTTGTTTACGAATTCGCACATCTCGTGGCATTAAGACTATATAATTATAATAAGTCATAATCTAATTGACTGAAGAGAGATACTATAGTTAGAATAATGAAATTATAATTTTGTTTTTAATTTCTAGTTTCTCAAATTGTCTTAATTTATTACGCATAGCATTACAGACTACGCAGCGGAAATACGATAAAATTCTGGCAAACACACATAGCGTTCTTTATACTTTCAAATAACTACACGCCACACGGTGTGTCCTCCAGAACGTCGGCGTCAGTCATTCACACCGCCGGGTGACCTCCGTATGAAAACGTAACTTTGTCTACGATTCCTTCGAGCGGCGTGGAACCAGGTGCGATTCTACACAACTACGAAGATGAAATTTCCGGTAATAAATCGTCCCTGGTATATGTCGCTCGTAGGCTTGAATAAAGATTCAAATATCTCGTAACCGCTCCCATCAGGGGATCACGTACGCACTTGTGTATACCAAAGACGTCTTTCGGAAAACGATAGTGAAGTATCGCTAGTCGCAATCGTCAGTTTTGGAGAACCGCAAGGGCGGAGCAACGCAATGCTAGGCATTTTCGGGGTTAGGTTGGGTCAGGAAGTTAGATCAGGTTGGGTTAGATTAGGTT